TCGTGCTGTTAACCAGGAGGCTTCCGAGTCACCCGGAAATGCAGCCCATCCCCCTCAGCAGGGAGCCGCCCATTGCCATGGAAGGATGGACAGCCTCCCTGCAGAAACAGAGCCTCCGGCCCTTGAAGATCCCAGCCCTTTGCTTACCACTAAGTCCTGTGAAGACCCCAGCCTCTGCTTGCCTGAAGGCCTTTGCACATCTCTAGACCTGCAAACTGCCCATTTGGCCTATCCTTTGCCTACTTCCCAGGTGATCTTTGCCCCCCTTACCCAATATAAACAGCTGGCTTACGGAGGGAAGGGAGGAGTGCAGAGCAGATTTTTGTGGGTGACCTGCTGCTCTCCCACACTGCCGGTAGGATTGGAATGAACACTCATATTTTATTCCGCCTGTTGCTGTTAAAATGGCTCATGTAGTGACAGGCAGTGTGGACCCTTGATTGGCGGGTTACAGACGGTTACCGGAGGCCGGAGCTCCTGTGCCATGCCATGCGGTGGGGCAGCTGCAGGTCTAGAGGGGCAGGGCGGGCCCCGAGCCAGTGCCAGGAGCTCGCGGGGACTGACTCTGTGCTCCGTCTCCGCCCTCTGCAGAAGGCGCCAGCACACAGCGGGTGGATACGGTGGTCTGCCTGACCCAGCAGCACCTGCGAGTGACTGCTAACCTACCCCTGGCTCAGATGCCAGGCTCCAACTCCGAGCAACCCACTGAGCAGGAGGCCGGCACAGCTCCCTCCTGAGAAAGGGGGGCATGGGGCCTGCCGAGGGGGCGAGGGCACCTCTGGGCCAGGAGACTGGTTTCAGTCACAGCCAGCTGCCTGCTTGAGGGACAGCCTTGGGGAAATTACTTAATTCCTGAGTTCTGAATGGGACCAGGAGTCCACAGACGGGCTGCAGGGATGCCCTTGGACCCTGAACCCTAACTGACACTTGGCGTGTCAGCAGGTCTGTACCTTAGAGACACACGGCCCTGCCCTCTGGGTTCTCAAGTGAAGTGGCCACAGTCAGAGATGCCAGGATAGGACCTCTGCCACGCTCACGCTGAGATGCCAGCATCCGGACGCTGCTCCAGGACCTGTTGCATCCAATACCATCTGCAAGTGGTTTGTTAACAGACAGGAGGCTGGCGCTTGGATGCCCCTCCCTGTGGGGGCTGGAGGCCGGGGCGGTGCCAGGCAGACACAGCTGCTGCTGCCACAGCCCCTGTCCCTGCCGTCACTCTGAGTAACCCCGGGGCCGGCAGAGGGGAGCAACATGCTAGAAGGGGCCTGCAGTGTGCACGACAGAGAGGGGGAAGCAGCTGCTGTGCACCAGCCCCGGGACACCGATCCTTAAGTTCCTAAGTGATCACGGAGCCCAGGACCCACGTTGCCTGAGGGACCTCTCAAAGCCTAGCTCCTGAGCTCCCCATGCTCTGAGGCTGCAGGGCGAACGCACCTGGGGTGTGGCGGGGAGGAAGGGGCAGGCTGGGGAGAAGTGGAGGCAGGCGTGCGGACCGAGAGCCGGCAGTACCTCCCCTGAAGCCTGGGAGGGGAGAGGGCGAGGAGGTGCCACCTGCTCGCAGTGCCCGCCTCTGGGCCTCAGCGCCCACCTGCAACTCCACCACCGCCCCGGAGCCCCTCCCTCTGCACCTGGCACTTACCATGCACAGGCCGGCCAGGCACTCCGCACTGGCCCGGCTGCCGCTTCACTGCTTTATGTGCCTGCGCTCCCAGCTGGACGGGTCTCTCAGGGCACCTACGCTACTTGCTCTTCCAGTTTCAGACCCACCCACTGTGGAGAGCGCAGGATCCATTACACCCAAAGAAAAAGCCGGTGCTCCCAGACAGCCCTGCACGCAGATCCCGGTGCACACCACATCCGCGTCTCAGACTCCTTCTCAGCTCCAAGGTGCACGTGTTCCCACATCAGACACGATTCAAAAGCACATTTTTAATGTGCACATGGTACCCCGTCACTTAGGGACGCCGTCACTCACTCAGCCAACACCTGCACGAAGCCCCAGGTACGGAGACCCGCGTGCATGGGGCTGTAGACGAGCTGCCACCCATGGCCTCCTACCTGCTCATAGGAAAGCCCATTCCCTGCGGGCAAGACCTGTGTGAGGCAGAGTGGTGCCAGCCCCCGGCTCAGCCTGGCACACCTGGAGGCCCCTGCCCCTGCCCCCGCCCTGTCCCTACCAATCAAAGGCCCTTCTGCCTGCAGGCAAGAGATGTGGACACAGGCCCAGCTGCAGTGTCGCTGGTCTAGCCTATCCAGCACCTCACAGGAGGAGCAGCCGAGAGAAAGAGGATGAGGAGATGAGCCAGGACCGACCCTCACTTTTCTAAAGCTACACCTGGGACAGGAGCCACGAGGAGACACACTTTTGCTCAATATGGAGCACGCTCTAAGTCAGCCTCGCGAGGGAAAGCACAGATGGGATATATATACCACGTCTGGGGCGAGCCCCGTCCCTGGAACACACCATGGCGAGGACAGAGGGATGATTAGACCACAGGCTGAGTCCCCTCCACTGGGAGGGGCTGCATGACCCCACAGATGCCTTGTATTCCTCCACCACAAACTTGTGGAAGCCCTTCAGGGGAAACCCACTGCAGTGCCTCGTCTGTGAAACACCCTGTTTCCAGATGTTCTCACTACAGCTGGAGCCTGCTTCCCCGTGAGCAATTTGCAGGAGAGTCTCCAGGGCAGTTCAGAACCAAGGGCGACAACGGCAGCACTGAACCCACACTGGGACGCAGCACTGCCAGCGCGACAGACGTGGCACCATATGCAATGTTGCTACACAAACAGGGCCCCTTGCGTGTGTTTTGGTCCTCGTTTTTCTGGTCGCTAAAACTTAATTAGCCTCACAACCCATCTGGCAATTTACATGCAATTACCCAGAATGCTTTGCAAGGCCACTCTGGTGCCTGAAGTGATGCGGAGTCCTATGCAGACCCCGAGGAACCCAGAGCAGCGAGAGCAGCAGCCTGCTTCCGGGGCCACAGGGGGGCCTGGCAGGCCTGGAGAAGGGAGCTGCTGGCCTCCCTCCCGAGGGCCAATGGGGACAGACGCCTCTGACAGGCCCTGCGTCCTGAGTGGACCGCTGGCCTGGCGGGTGCCGCCCTGCTACTTGCTGGTCGGGCACAGGGCAGGGCAGCGGTTTTAACGGTGCCCAGATATTCGAGGGCTGGGAACCTTACCTTTTCCAAAATGAGCAGGAGGAGCGAGAAGTCAAGAGCCCAGCCCCGAAAGCACTGAAGCCCAGCGAGGGGACACATGATGTCCCGGCCCCTTCCCTAGCCCGTCTGAGCAGAGGGTGCGTCAGAGGGAAGGCCCCTCTCCACTCGGTGCCAGGGGCTCCCATCTCCTCAAGGCTGAACATGCCTCCAGTCTGGGTTTGTCAGCCCTCCCTAAGGGACGTTGGCGTGCCAGGGGTTAGGGTAGGTTGCAAGAACCATAAATACACTTAATTTAACTTTAAAAAGAAATTGTCAACCAGGCCGGTTTGGCTCAGTGGATAGGGCATCGGCCTGCAGACGGAAGGGTCCCAGATTCAATTCTGTCCAGAGCACGTGCCCAGGTTCCCAGCTCCATCCCCAGTGTGGGACATGCAGGAGGCAGCCATCAATGATTCTCTCTCATCATTGATGTGTCAGTCTCTCTCTCCCTCCCTTCGTCTCTGGAATCAGTAAAGGTACATTAAAAAAAAAACTTTCATTTTAAAACCTAACATTTTCTAAAGCTAACGAATAACAGTCTGGCCCTAGACGGGCTTCGGAAGGTGGCTGCTGCCGACGTCAGCCCACCCTGGAAAAGGACGGCCGGGTCCGGGGAGCTGCCCTGGCCTGGCCCCTCCTGGGAGCCCAGGCCGGGCCCTGGAGAGCAGAGCGGGGCACTCAGGCTGACTCTCACCACCGACCCCAGCCAGGGCACAGAGGGAGGTGGTGCCAGTGGGGATCTGCTCACTGCCACGTAGGACTTTGTTCCCAGACTGTGAGAGCAGGCGGCAGGCCTGCCAGGGCACAGGAAGGGGTGACAGGGAAGGCGTGCCAAGTTCCCCTCAAACCAAGCTCCTGAGGTAACACATGAAGACGGCGACTTAAAACACATGAACTGTTACACCCACACCCCACATCCACACGTAAGAGGCACGTGTGGCTCTGTGTCAGAGCCGGACCCTCGGGCTCAGTGTGCCTGGCGCTGTGACCACAGAGGCCCCTCCTGCTCTGGGTCTGGGAAACGGAGCTGCTAACGTAAAGCTCACCCAGGGCTTCTGGGAAGCCAGTGAGCCCACATATGCCACTGCCAACAGCGCCCAGCACACAGCAGGTCCGTGAGAGGCTGCATGCCGCCATGAGGGGCCAGTCCTGTGCTCAGCTGTGACCCCTAGGGAGGTCTTGGGGGAAGAGGGGAGTAGAGGGAGCTGCCCTTAGAGAGGTGCCAGCTCAGGCACCCTGTCAGTGCTTTCACTCCATCGGAGGGAAGCCCTCCTCATGTTTTCCTTTTCTGTTTCAACCCTCGTGTTGGTAAGAAGAAAGGACAACGTTACACCTCAGAGCAGCAGCCAGTCCTCCAACCCCACCGCAGCCTCTGCTCGGGCCACTGGGCGCCGGGCGCCTGGGGCGTGCAGCGTCTCAGACAGCAACCAGCGCAGTGACTACCTGCTGGACTGAAAGTTCTAGAACAAAGGAAACTTCCAGCATCCGACAAAGATGGGGGAGTCTGCACAGGACTGGCTGTCCGTCCAGCAGAATTCTGTCCACTGGAACGATGAGGCCTCGCCAACCACGCTGGCCCCAGGTCTGAGGCCCCGGAGGGGACGGGGGTCTGCGGTCAGGGACCCCTCCCTGGGATGCGATGTGCAAAGAGCTCTCCCACAGGAGTTTGGGGAGCAGAACAAGGGGACCGTCTAGAAAGGGCCCTGACATGGCGGCTGAGACTGGGTCAGCTCTGGGGGGGTCCAGGCCTCAGCCAGCAGTGGGTGCGGCTCCCACGCCCCGTAGCCCAGCACTTACCAGGAAGCGGACATCGTCAAAGCCGTTCAGGAGCAGCCGGCTCTCGTACTGCTGCAGGCCCAGCGCCGCCAGCCACGTCCCGACGCTCTGCTCCAGCGCCCGCGAACCTGCCGAGAGAGGAACCGGCAGACGCTTGCAAAGGGAAAAACCATTCAGGCAGCAGTGGCACTCGGAGGAAGACAGATGGCACTGCCACATCATGATCATCATTATAAAGCAGCCAAACCACGGACAGGAGGCGAGAGCGGAGGACCGCAGCACCTCGTCCGTGTGCGGGCGGGGGCGGCCCGCCAGGCGCCGTGCACACCCACAGCCTCGGGCACGGCCTCTGCCCGCCGGCCGGGAAGCTAACCCCCAAGGTCTCCAGGTCAGCTCTGCATCAGCGTTCACAGCGTCTGGTCCCACGGGCACCAGCGGGGCTGGGAGCCCTGACATCCATGCATCCGGAGCCCCACGGGCTGAGGCGCGGGTCCAGTCCTGTGACCTTCCGCACACACAGGTCAGGAGAGCACACGCATCTTCACGCAGCCCGGGACACGGCCCCGAGGGCTCCGGGAGGGGAGCAGCGGCTGCTCGCGGGGACCCAGCACATGCAAGCCAAGCAGCAGCGCACACGGCAGGAGAAGAGGCATTTACTTGTTCTCCCCCAACAGTCCCGGAACAGGCAGACCATGGCCCTCTGTGCCAGGGGCTCAGGCGGCGAGGGGCTGAGCGGGGCGCGCGGGCCACGGCGCGGAGACCAGGCTCCGGGTGCTGTGCTGGGACGGCGACATCGCACTCCGCAGGGCGGTGTGGCCAGCGGGCCAGGGGCCAGGTCCTCGCTAGACCCTGGGCGCCGGCGAGCGGGGCGTCTCCCGGGCCGGGGCGCTGTCTGAAGGGCTGCCTTCCCGGGCCGGGCGGGCGTGCAGGGGCTGGGCGTTCACTGTCCTCGGCTGTGGCTGTTCCTGTGGCTCACCTGCCTGCCCAGGTGGAAAGCAGGCAGGCAGACCCCGTTCTTGGCTAAAGATGAGAAAGCCCAGGCAGAGCAGAGCAAAGGAAGCAGTTCTGTCAGCCGGCTGGCGGCTTAAGTCTGTGCACGTTCTCCGCCCGCTGGCTGAGGGAGAGAGACAGGAGGTGTCCTCCGGAGCCTCCGGATCCCGACGTGCTCCTCAGGAAGGCAGGGAGGTGGGGTGAGGGGAAGTCCAGCCCTTCCCGGCAGGCCTGGGACGCTCGGAGCTCAACGCCTGAACCCACGCCTACTTCTCCGGTGCTCGCGGGCAAGCACGGATACAGGAGGAAAAGGAAAAGGGGAGGAGAGAGAGGTGCGAGGAAGGAAGAGAAGAGCCAACGACGACAGCGTCACCTCCAGAGAATCCTGGCAGTCTTGCTGGTGGGAGTCATCCTGCTGTTCCCGGCACTCGTGCCCTCGGGGCAGCCAGGCCCCCAGCATGGTTGTCCAGGAGACCCCGGGACCCAGGGTCCCAGGCTGCCCCTCGTCTGTCCTCCGCTGACAGACGGTGGCCGGGTACGCGGCCTCCCGCGCGGCAACGGCAGCCCAAGATGCCGGGTCCGGGGCCACTTGAGCTCCCCTGCCCTTGAGCGGCTATCAGCTCCAGGGACCTACGCAGCAGGCTCTTGTCCACCGGTGAGGCCAGGGGCTCCCGGCTGCTGATTCATTCCTGCCTGTGATCCCGCCGGCTGGCCAGCTGCGGTGCTGCCTGCTGCCAGAGGGCGTGTGCGCTCCCAGTGACCGCAGCGGAGGGCTTTGTCTACAGCTCCCGGGCTCCACGCCGCCTGCTGCCGGCCGCTCCACCGTCCCTGCTCACTCTCATCATCCTGGCCCTCCCTCCCCTCCCCTCCTCCCCTCCGCGCTCAGGAAATACATCAGGCATCGGACACCGAAGCAGAGGCTGCTGCCGCCGCCGCCAAGAGAAGACACAGCAGCACGAGCAGCCAAACAAATGACAGGTTTCCCAACATCGGACGCTGGCCCACACCCGCCAGCGGCAAGGGCAGGAAAGGGTCTCAGGGAGGACAGAGAAGAACATGCCTCTGGTTCTGGCTGGCGGCTCCTAGGACGGCCAGAGAGGGGACAGAGGATGGTCACCGCCCTGAGGACACAGCCAGGGTTAAGGAATGACTGCCTTTCTGCCAAGATGCATAGAGGCATCAAAAATACAGCGGCCAAGTAAGGCCGTGACACCGACACTCCGCAGGTGAGCACACCAAACAGCCCGAGCGCCTCTCTCCGGCCTGTGGAGGCAGGGAGAAGCCCCGGGCATGCTGCCCACAACCCGAAGGAGGGCACCGGGACCCGGGGGCCAGGACCAAGCCCCACGTCCAGCTGTAGAGACAGTGAGGTAACATGTGCAGAAGACACGCAAGGATCACAGGCCACCTCTCAGCATGCTGGGACTGCACCCAACAGGCGGCTGCTGGCCTGGCTCGGGGCTGGCCAGGGAGGAGGCCCCAGGGGGGCAGGCATTCAGTGAGATGGAGGCATTGGCAAAAGAAGCCAGGCAGTCTCTTCTGCTTGACAGGACAAAGCCAGAGTGGCCTGGCCAGCGGGCAGGCTCACCCTCCTGGACTCGTGACGTGGGGTGAGCTGGAAAGGACATCTGTCAGGGATTCAGGTAACTGGCTCCAATGCTGGAGGCTCAGGGGCTCACAGCCCCAAAGAGGACTGAGACCTGAGAGCTACAGAGGTCTTGCCAGGTACTCCCACTCTCAGCAGAGGGCTGGCTGCAGGAGGGGCAGGCCCCGAGCCCAGGCCCTTTTCCGGGACCCAGAAGCCCAAGGGCCATCCCAAAACACCAGACCCCCTCTGGCTGAGGCCTGATGCTCCCTGGGGTCCTGGCAAAAGCCTCCTCCTGACAGACAGAAAGCAGAGCCCAGCAGACTGAGCCCACCCTCTCCACACGTCACGCCCGGCAGGGGGCTCGGCCGCATGGTGGACATGTTGTCCTGGTGACCTCGCTGTCCCGATGGCACCCTGTCCCAATGGCCAACCTCGGGAGCCTGACTTTGACGTCCTAAGCTGGAGTATGAGGGGGAGTCAACCCAATGAGTATGAAAACAAGACCGTGATGGGATGCAGAAGCCTAGGGGGTAGCAGGACCAACCCACTCCGATCCCTCATGTGGGTCATGGGGGCAAGAACCGGCAGCAAAGGAAGGGCTCTGAGCGCCCCAAGGACAAGGGCTCCTCTGTGCTGCCAGAGGTGCAGCTGAGCCCCGCCAAGAGGTGACTGCACAGCCAAGCTCTGTAGCACCCGGAGGTGGGGTCCCTCCAATACAGAGGGGTGAGGAGCAAGACCGGCCTCGGTTGAACTGTCAGCCACCCAGCCCTGAGGTGCCCACCATCCCTGGCAGAGCTCTGAAAGGGCAGTGGTATTGGTCTCAGCCCTAAACTTCTGTCCCTCAGACACCTGACCCTTGGTCAGGCCTGCACACTACAGCCGAGCGTGAGGTTGCAGGCCTGGGAGCAGCAAGTGCCTGCAGACAGGGCCACAAGCCACAGAGCCCCTCTGTGGACCCTCCGCAACCCGAGACAAAGACAGACCATAGCCAGCTGGGCCCTGCTGGAACCCCGGGAAGCAGGCTGCTGTGGGGAGGGCGCCCTGGACCCAGTCTGAGAAAGGCGGAGACAAGCGGGCATTCTCCAGACAAGTCGGCAGTGGTTTCAGGAGTGGAAGCAAGCACAGCCACTGCTGACTGAGTGTCTCTCAGCTCGAGTGTTTGCACACATCCATCACTCAGTCCCAAACCTAAGTGCAGGGACTGTAGGCCAATGGCAGGAGTGGGCTCAGAGGGGCTAGTGGCTTGTCTGAGACACGGATTTGGAATCAAATTTGAACCCAGGTCGGGGCCCCTGGGCCTGCACTCCCTCCATAGCCCATGCCTCAGCAGGTCTTTCTCCCTGACGTGCACATGCGCCCCCACCAACCAGACCTCCCTCCAGGGCCAGAGGTCACTTGGGCTCCCAGGTCAGCCCAGGTAGAAGCCTCCGAGCAGGCGAGGAAGCCTATCCCTTGGGTGCAGAGAGGACCCCCTGTAAGGGGCAGAGACCGGGCGGGGGTTGAGGGGGAGGATCTGCAGGTGCCGGGGGAGGAGCGTGAGCGCCGCTCTGAGAGGCACCTTTGGAAGTGCCACCTGACCTGAGAAATAACAACCACTCTATTACCGAGGACAGCAGCTCAGATAAGGCCGCCCTGGCCGCCCCGTTTCAGGTGAAGGAAAGAAAGGCAGACCTCACCCCTGGGGCTTTGAGATGGAAAAAACACCCAAAGTAGTAGTGAGCTGAAGTGAAAAAGATGCGACTGAGGAAACGGAGAGATGGAGAGAGACACAGGAGGAAGCAAAACCGAGCCCCGGGGAGATGCCGGCTCACAGCCCACGGCCAGGCCTGGGTGAGTCCCCCGGTGGGGACCCCAACACCGAGAAGCTTCGATGTCAGCTACATTCACGACAAGAATGAGTACCGGCTGCTCATTAGGAAAAACGGTTTCTGAATAGGCAGACCGACACGCAACTTGCACACATGCCCTCCGTCACGTGAAGGAGCCATGGCTCCACAGAGGACAGGGAGCGGGGCTGCAGACAAAGAGCTGCTGAGTGGAGCACCGTGGCCTGAGGCTGACCTCTCGCCCTCAGGGTCCGCCTTCGGGGCCAGAGGAACTGGGGCAGGAGGGCGCCAAGGCCCATGTGCGCGGGAGACGTGGCGGCACCTACCTGAGATCCTCTGCTGCTCCTGAGAAAAGTTAATCCCTTCTCCGATAGAGCTCATGATCTTCTCGATCTGAAACAGAAGAGGAACACAGGGAGAGGCCGTCAGGCTCGGGCATGGGCAGCTCACCTCCAGACTCTTCCGAGATTCCAAGGGAGCACCAGCCTGCAAGGCACCAGGATCTGCCACAGACGATAGTAGCCCCAGTGGCCATATCCGGGGGGAGGAGGGGAGGAGCCTGAAGACATGATCTGAAGGGCGTGAGCGGGTGAAGATGCCAAAGCTCCCCCAGTTCTCCCGGACCAGGCGGGACTGGGCACATTTCCCTGCACTGCTACCATTCCAGTCCATGGGAGAGGTGGCCAGCTTCACCGCAGGCAGCACCCCATGTGCCCAGAGCAATGGCAAGTCATAAGCACTCAACAGATCACCGAGACTGCCTGACCGCCAGCTGCGGTGCGGCCGCCTTCCAGAGTGGAGAGAGCCCATCACCCTGAGAGGAGGGCCCCTCGCTCCCTGGGGCCAGCAATCCGGATAGAACTCAGCGTCAGGGGTGCGAAGGGCCACTGTCCTCAGGACCACAGCCGAACCCTGGTCTCAACGTGTCTCATGTCTCCAGCGCTGGCCCGGTATGGACCCCCTTCCCAGTCATCTGGCTTTGGTCACCCCGAGCCAGACCCAAGCCCCCTCCCCAGGACACCTGGCCAGGGGCAGGCCTGGCAGCAAGGGGCCACCTTCTCCCCCCCTTTCTGGGCTGCAGTGACAATGAGCTCATTCACTTGCTCTTTTTCCAAAGAAACAGGGTGAGAACCTTTTGTACCAGAGCTTGGAGGCTCTCCTCTAAGTGCCAGCGAGGAGCTTGGGACTGACAATCAGAAAAACAGCCACCCTCCAGCCAGCCTGCAGCTGGCAGACAAAGCTGGCACATTTACACCCGCAGAAGAGCTCAGGGCAGCCCGCCCTGCCCTGCCCGCACTCGCCACCACCCCCCCACGCCGCACCTCCCGGCAGCCAGGAAGGAGCCATTCTAGAGCTGCAGAAATGATTGCCTGCTAGCACACACTGCGCACTCCACCCTGGGCTCCGCAACAGCCACGGGACCAGGACAGCTGACGGGCGGAGCGGCGGCCGAGGCAGCAGCAGCCCACAGGCTCCGTTCCTTGGTCCTGCCGTCTCAGGGCCGCCCCTCCGCAGGCAGCTTGGTGCGAGGGAGCGGCCTGGTGGACACCCATGCCTCCGTGTCCAGCCTGTAAAGCAGCGAGAGGGCCTACTTCCCACAAAGGGTGGTGTGGACCAGGAGTATCGGGGACGGAAAGCATGTGGCTGAAGGCCTGGCTCACAGAAGATGCTCAATGAAAGGCCAGTTAGCTTTCCATGTCCCTCCGGCGTCGGAATGCTCTGGCCCAGTGAAACTTATCTTAAAGTGTTAAAACGTATTTTTCTCACATTTATTTTTTGACAGGTATACATTCATATGATTCAGAATTCAAAGGTACAAAGGATATTCAGAGAAAAGTCTCCTGCCCATGGAGCCTAGTTCTTCTCTCTGGAAGAAACCAGTATAACCAGCCTCTCCAGTATCCTCTGGATCTGTCCACCCTACGAATAGATCCCACCTCCCCAATGATGGAGGCATTTAATACTACATCCCACTTCCATTTAATACTACTCCTTGGAATTCTTCCTACAGAAGAGAACTTTAAGAAAAAGAAACGTTTTAAATGGATGAGGTACAGCATCCTGTGTGTGGCTGTGCCATAGTTATTTACCAGGCCCTGCCAGGCGCGTGTGGTCTCTGGTCCTCTCATAGTAAGCCGGGCCACGGCGAACAGTGCCCCATGGGCACCTTTGTTCACATGGGCAGTCCACTTGAGGATGCTTACAGGCACAGACCACATGGGGCCTAGCCCGCCCTCTGACTCTGCGAAGGCCTTCCAGAGATGGGCAGTTGCTAACTGCCTCAGTCAATTCACCCCATTTGCAGAAAACACCAATTTAAAACGTTTATCTTTTCATGACTTAAACCTTTTTTCTAACTTCAACCCAGGGGTCCCGCCGTCCCCAGAGCAGCCGGCCTCCCACAGGGAAGGCTCATCTCCAGCAGGCTGCTCCCCCTGGCTGCTCGCAATGCCACGTCAGCGCCAGGTGAATCCTGGCTACCAATCAGACTTCGAGCCAGGAAGCTGGGCAGAGAGTGGCTCACAGTACCTATCTGCTGATGACCTTCTTGTTCCCTTCCCACATTTACAGGAGAAAAGTAGGGCGCTCGCTCGGGTGAGGAAACGTTATCCTACGTGGGCGACGGGCCCCCATCCCCGGCACCCCTCCAGCCAAAGGGTGTGTGTGGGAGAATCACCATGCAGCCCCCATGGGGGTGGAGTTGAGCATATTTTGTTTGCTATTTTACACCCGCCCATCCCCGACCCCTGGGCCTGGCTCTCGAGAGACACACACACACACACACACACACACACACACACACACAAGGGAGAGGAGTAGATAAGGAGAAATATGAACGGTTTCGTGTTCAAGGCCACGCGGAGGGTCAGGGTGGAGGAGCTGAAAGGTAGGAGATTCCAGGTGTCCTCTGAGGTGAAGTGGTCGCTCACAGGGCATATTTCACAGGTGGCATCACCTGATACCAAAGCCCAGCCGGCCTCTCCGATCCACCCCTCTGGCTGCCCCATTCACCAGACAGTGCCAAAGGGCCTTCTGAAGTCACAGCCGACTGGGCCGGACGCCCTGCGCCTCCTGCTCGCCCAGACGCCCTTAGGCCTCCGACCAGGGCCAGGAGAAGCCACAGCCCCGGGCGGTGGGGAGGACTCAGCGCGGTCCCACCCCCGGGAAGGGAGCTGTGCTCTGGGACCTGCAGCACACGCCCCGCTGAGGCCCTCGTTCAGAGGAGCGGAGGACGGGCAGCGGGCAGGACGGCTTCCTGTTTCGGTGGACACTCGGGGCCGGCAGGTCCCGGCTCTGGCAATGCCGGCACAGACTGGGGCTGGTCCTGCCCAGCCTAGGAGACAGTGAGAAGTTGGGCAACATAGTCTCTCCTTGTTCACCCCCCCACCCCCCTCCAGGCCCAGAACCAGCAGAAAGTGAATGTGGTCATTCAGTCTACTCTAGACAAAGAGGGCAGATACCATTCTGACCTGATCTAGATTGTGTGCAGTTTAACCATTTAGGCTGCTTTCCCAGGAATGGGGGGTGAAGGGTGAGGGGAAGGGGGTGCTGGGTGGGCTCAGCTCAATGCTCTCTTCTCTTCTGAATCGGTTTCGTTTTGGAGAGAGCCGAGAAACAACCGCAGCCACACTGCACTTCCCTCCAACTGACAGGGAACCTGTGTGTCCATAAGGAAAGGACCGAGGCTATCGCCATAAGGGACTCAGGCTGGGCAACATTCCATTTTTAGAAAGTCCTCAGGATGGTTGTATCTTCACCCCCTCCACCCCCCCGGCCCGGGCTGTATAATATGCACTCCCCATGTGCCCCCCCCCCCGCACCTCCCCCCAGGGCTGTATAAACCGCATTCCCTATGTGTCTGAAAACAAAACCAAACACACACACGGGGTCTGAGTGCCTGGAACACGGAGTCTGGCTGCCCACGGGCTGCAGCGGGAGGTGACTCTGTGCACAGAGCCTTCGCCACACCAGGACTGCTGCCAGGAGCACCTCGGACTAGGAATCCACTTTCCGGGGGGAGCGGAGGGGGCAGCTGGTTCTGAGGGCACTCTGTGTGCCAAGAGTGTGCTGGGCATGGCCGGCCACAGCAGAGCCACAGGCCCGAGGAAGCCTTCCCCGGGGGTGGGAAGGTGAGGCAGGCTCCAGCTATAGCCACACATCAGAGCAGGTCAGCCTGCATGTGAGCAGGGGCCAGTGCAGAGGAGGGGGAAAGGGATGGCCTTCCTTCTGCCCTCTTCTGTGCACATGGGAACATGAAATGTGCTCCTGAGGCCCCCTCCCCCCACTCGGAGGACACACAGAGTCTCCTAGCGCCTGCAGTTCCAGTCTCCTCTGCTCCCAACATTCACCATCACATCCACCCAGAAACACTCTCTGCACTGGTGTTTCCCCAGCGAGCTGTTCCCGGCAGGTCCCAGACACCCCGGAGCGTGCAGGGCGGCGGGGCAGACACTCCGGAGCGCACAGGGCGGCAGGGCAGACACTCCGGAGCGCACAGGGTGGTGGTGCAGACACTCCGGAGCGCACAGGGTGGTGGTGCAGACACTCCGGAGCGCGCAGGGTGGAGATCCTGGCCCCTTCTCCAGACGCGCTGGGGTCTCAGCTCCATCGGCCTCACCACGGGGCACTCAGCTGTGACCACATTAACTCTCCCACCACATCTCACCCCTCCTGTGACACAGAGACCACAGGCGTGCTGGCCTGTGCTTGGCCCTCAGACGGTGGAATGAGGACCATCATGGACCACAGTCACGTCTCTAACCTCCTCTCTCCCCCCACGCCATCCTTCCCATCCCTTTCGGAGGCCGTGCAGGGCTTTGCTCTCACCCAGGTCTTTGGCCCGCCCTTTCCTGACCCGCAAGTGCCCACGCCCGACTACAACTTGCCTGAAGGGAGCCCTGCCTGCACACAGCGCCTGCCCAATGGCCTTCTCAGAACAGCAGTCTTTAACTCAAGCCCCAGAAACTGCTGGGGAAGAACAAACATTGGGAGACTAGGCTGCACTGAACTTTATTGCTGCTCGCCACATCACACTGGGTTGTGTGCCAAGTCCTGGCTGTAAAAAGTGGGACAAGAATCTATAAGAGTGATGAGGATTATGTGTTTGGGTTCTAATCCAATTTGTACAATCTACTCTCCGTCCCCAAGCAGGTTTCCTGGGGGAGGGGGTGGCGGATAGGAGCACATAAGTCTCAGAAAGGCCTCAGGCCTCTCGGACCCAGGCAACCAGGTTCAAGGGCCTCTGGGTTCTTTCACCAATGCCCCCATGCTGCCCCTCGGCCCCACCCTCCCACGTCCACAGGGCACCCAGCACTGACTGCTGGCCTGGCTGCGCGGTAACCAGCCCAGGAAACACCCCAAACTCCCACTAGTGTCCGTTTCCTCAGCAGTGT